GTATTCATTTGGTCTTTGGTTCATTAGCTCATCCCACTTGTCTGCAGTTCACCCCCAACATGACAGCTTCAGTGAAACAGTATCGTTGGCAGTGCATTGAATGCAAATCATGTGGTCTGTGTGGAACCTCGGACAATGATGTAAGCATTTATTATACATGTTATCCAACTATGTTTAATAATCTGTACATGCTATCTTGCCATGTTTATTTTTTTACATTTTTATAATTCATACTCTTATAAGTTTAATTGCTAAAGTTTTTTAGCATTTTCTTTCGTATATTTATATATTTTCTTTGTTATGCTATATTATTTAATTAATAAAAATGGTCTCTGTAAGTAGTGAAAATCTCAAATCAGCTTTTAGTTCAGTAAAAAATCAATCTTAAACTTAAAAAGCCTGTATGATGATGAAATTTGGATAAGGTGCTGTTTTAGTTCATATCCATTTAAAGAAAAATACAGGAAGAGAAAAATAAATTTTGGCCATAATAAATATTTTGAATAAATAAATGTATTTAGGTCATAATAAACAACAAATATAGGTCATTTCCCTATTTTTCCAGACTTTATGGACACACTGTGGAGTTACTATGGGTTTGTTATTTAAAAATGATTAATAAAGTTAATGGATTTAACTTTGAGTATGTGTTTCATGTAATCTTTGTATGTAAATACTTGTAATTTTAAAGCAGATGACTACTATTTCTGGCAGGACCAGCTTTTGTTCTGTGATGACTGTGACCGAGGATACCATATGTACTGCTTGAATCCTCCTTTATCAAATCCTCCAGAAGGTAAGTCACGTTTAAATGTAAGTTTCTGCTGTATTTCATGTATGTTCAGTGCTTTCTCCATTCTTCAAAGTTTGAGAATCCAAGAGACCATTTACTTTACAATTTTGGGGGTCCAAAGGAAAAGTTAGGGGTCCCTGCACTAAGACCTTCAGGATCAACTTTTGAAGCTATGTGTATAACACCATTTTTTGTTTAGTGGTGCTGGTATCTGCAAACCAAAAGATCATTTTGGTTTGATATGACATGATGATATGATTGTTCCCAAAATTACTTATATTTTGATTAATTAATTATATTTTATTATGTAAGATGAAAGCACTTTTAATATTTTCTCACTTGAAAAAATTTATTGTTGTGCATTCAGTATTCCAAGGCAGAGGATGAATATTGATTAAATACTTTAACCATAGATTTGTACAGTATTCTTAAACACTATCATGTTTCTACTTATATGTCTTAGTATGAGTAGACAGCAAAAAGAGCAGCTTCTGCAAATGATAGAAATAGCAGGTTAATAAATAAGAAATATTACAGGATTATAAATAAATAACTTTTTGTTGATGTGCTCTTAAAGGCCGCTGGTCTTTGAAAGTGTTGATATCAAGAACCTTCAAGCATGGGTTAATATGGCATAAAAGGCTGAATCAGAAGTTGAGGTTGATTTTGTGCAGACCAGCAGTCGATAACAAAAACAAGTTGAGATACCTATACTTTAGAGCCCTTTTCAAACATTGTATTCAAAACATACTGATACTTTAGGGTACCTTGTAAGTATTGCAGCTAGAAATAATATTGAGGCTGATGATTTTTAAGATCCAGATCAATTTAGACTTAACAAAAGTAAATAAATATCCCTCTACTCAGAATATTGTAAGGAAAGAAATGTTGCTTCTGGTGTATGCATATGAGAAAGTTTTTTTTTAGTCATAAATGAACATACGTACATTAATGGAAATCTTGATTTTTTAAGTCTTTAATTCACTTTTAAGAATGTAATAATATTGGCTTGTGACTACTTTCTAAAGAGTAAAATAGAAGTTTCTAATTCTGATTTTGACATTTTCCTTTCTTGAACACACTGTGTAGATGACACATCTCAGCATTGAAATGGAAGATGTTTTGCTGCAGCATAACACTCCTTTCTCATCTCGCATCTAGTTCTAACCTATCACCTTAACTTCAGTCATTTTGATTCTCCCACAGATGGTTTACACTTTACAACAGATAATGTTCTTTATGCACATTTATACCGTTAGCTTCATAATATCACATTGTATTTTATGAACTGCAGAGGACAAAATATCCAGGTTCACTTTTCAATTTGTGAATCAAAACAACCCAGTTGCAAATCACAAATGAGTCATTCCTTTCTCTTGTATGTTGTCTTCGAGACCTCCAACAACACATTGAAAGTGCTGTAATGTTTCTGTTTGATATACAAAAGTCAAATCTGATGTTCATTTCTTGGAAATTTCTGCCAAATGGCACATACAGTATTTTCATTTTGTCATTTTCACATTTTATAGCAGTTTGTTTATGACGTTTGGAATGTGCCATTTCACCTGGTCGGTGGCTAAGACTAGCCAGCTAGACTAGACTATGTACGTACAGTACATGCACTGCACATTTAGCATTGAGCCGGTTACGAGCTCTCAATACTGGCTCAGGTCCCAAGGGCCGACCACGTGATCATTTCTACTTGTATATAGATCTAATACTATAACTTTTAATACAGTTAGTGCATCTTCACAAAATTTGGCAGACTTTTAGTAAGTATTGCAAGTCGTTTTTAATTAAGTAATTTTACTAAAGATTTGTCCGTCTTTTTTTTTACCAGTCCAAGTGCAAAATGATTTTCATGTTAAAATTAAAAACACTTTTCAACATCTCAGAAATGCCAAATGTCATTTACATGATCTCTAAAACCTCCTAAATACATTTCAAATGTTATTTTCAGTAAAACTTTGTATTTTATCTGTTTTTTACATTAACTCTGTTATGGTTGGTCAAGTTGTTTGACTTTGTAACCACCAAACAAAAATTGAAAGAAATATAAATTATCCTTTTTTTTCTTTCAAGAATGATTTCAAGTTGTAACATGAAACTACACTCGTTTATCCTAAGTAGCTTTAAACTCATAACAGCATACATCTATTTGTACTTAAATTTATTGTTTTTTATTTCCAATCCACCAAATTATTTTGTCCTCTAAAACTGGTATGATGCTCAAAAAATGATAAAGAAAACATATTGTATTTAACCAGACTGTGTTGAGAAGTGATATTTGGTTTTTCACGTTCATATTCTTTGACATGAATGGCCTGTATGAAATAAAAGTTTGTTTCTTTCCGGATACATTTTTTATCTGGTAGAGACTGAATCATATTCTTGTGTGTATGAAAACGTTTTTCTAAAAACACTGTACAAGGGCTAATGAAGAAATCATATTTCTGCAATTATGAAGAAAGAGCAAAATATTGAATTAGTAATTCTGATCTTGTATTCTAAATTCACAGGATAAGTATTCTGGTGTAAAGAAATCTGTTTTGTTTCAGAATTATGTATTTGCAATAAAGAACCAGACTACAGAAATTATGAAGTAGTTTGGTACCTTCAAACTATTTACTGATATTTGTCTTGAAGCTTACTGACAGTAAATACCTGAGAGTTTATGGTTATCTGGGTTATATGTCTGGGTTATTCTTGAAACTACAGTCAATGATATTGACAATTGTACAATTTGTGAAACTTACCTTTAAACACAAAATTATTTGGTTTTTCACTCATTTTCTGCTACAAAATATAAAATTTAAAAACAAAAATCTGTGCAAGTGCAAATATATATATTATATATATTGTAATTCAATGTATTATTATAACATTTACAAGTACAAGTTCCTTCAGTAAAAAAAGAATTATAGAGTTTTATTGTTTAAAATGAAAAACAGTAAGGATGCTTCTTAGTTTAGATAATGGTTTTGATTATTTATCATTTACTACTTATGTTTTTCAGGGTCTTGGAGCTGCCACCTGTGTATTGAAGAATATCATGGAGGAAGAATACAGATGGGATAGTCAAAATGTTTCCTTGAAAATTTGTAGAATTAAGGATCTCACTATAACAATCTTGTTTTTGAAAATTAGAATATTCACAGAATTTTGACATCTCTTCTTCTTAGTGTTCTTTTTCTGTGTTTCGTAGTTGATAGAGTTAGATCATTTTAATCTGGTTTCTGTGTTAATTGTAGAAAAACAGTGAGATGTCTGTTTGGTAATGCACAAGAGAACTGTAAAGATCTGCCAAAATAAATATTACATCCTATGTCGCTTAAGATATATGACATAAAAAACAAATATGGATGATTTTTAAATGCGTCTTTCCAGAGTTATGTAAGATGCAGCATCAAAAAAGTTCTACACCTAATTGGATTGTAAAGTCAGTTTTACTTTATTATCTAGGATTCTTCATTATAATTTGCTAGTTCAAGGATAAACCATTGTTAGCTTACTCAGAGGTATGCTGCTAACTGGAAAATAAATAGTATATTTGTTTTATATTGAACAAAGTTTGTAAGTATATTGAAGTTTCTATTATATAACATCATATTAGATCCCAAGAAACAGTTTTTTGTCTACTAACTTTCTAGATATGCTTGGTAATTGTTGAATAGCATTAGTTTAGTGAAGGATAAATAAAAATGTTTCCTGTTGACTAAAGATGAATGTTTCCTAAGAAAATTCATTATCAAGTTATATATATATTGTTAACATGATGTACTTGTGGATATTTTCTGTGTTTAAAACAACACTATTATTGAGAACATAATTTCTTAACTATTATAACATTAATACTACTATTTGAAAACTATAAGGCTGCTAAATTCCACCTTTGCAGTAAAATATTTAGGGGTTTATGCCTCAGTATCAAAGTGATTTTGTATTTTCTAGTGTTAAATATGATAATGATACATTTTATTCAGTTTTTTATAACTTATTTTAATTAGTATATTATCACTTAAAAACTTTCAATCTGTTTTTAAAAATTGTGAAATTAATGGTTAGATATTCATCTCTGTGCAGTTAACAGGTAATTATTTTATTTCTTTAACTGCTAAATGTAACAATAAAAATGATATGTGTGTGTATATGTGTGTACACGCATGCACACTGATGTTACAAAGTGTGAATGTTTTAAAATGTTATTACCATCCTTTTTGAGCCTTAATAAGGCATTCTTTCAAGTGTTTTTGGCAGTAAGAAAAGTTACTGAAGTATATTTCATCTTTATTAGTTAGACTTTGAAAAAATGTTTTATTTAATCAAAGGCAAACTCTCAAGAAATTTTTATTTGTGACTTTCGTCGTGTGTTTCCAAAACTTAAGCCAAAAGTTCTGCATTTGAGAAATCTTGGATGAAAACTTGTGTTGTTATAACCATACGAACTTATGAGTGAAAGAAGAATGTCATATGTCAAATACACTATTTTGTGTTAACATATAAATGTTTATTCACATTAATTTCATTATCAGCCATTGTATTGTCAAACAATGTTCGTTATGTGGTTATGTGTATATTATTAGATTACTGTTTATATGTTCCTATGTATAGTACTAGGTATGTGTGTATGTATGAAACCCAATACTAGTGGTAATGATATACCATAGTGTTTCTAACAAAACAAATCATGTATCTTGTAGAGAGTGTCAAAAGCTAAATATTTACATAAATTGTGTTAAACTATGATATTCTCTACCAAATCATAAAGGAAAAATTCAATAAGAAATGCACACATTTTTTTATGTTAAATTTTGCTGTACCAATAAATTGCTAACATAGGTTGGCATAGCATAATTAAAAAAAATTGGACTTACCAAAACTTGTGGTACAAAGAAAAAACTAATAGTTCAAGTAAATGTTAGCAGTCATGAAATTAGTGTTGGTTAAAACATTTTGAAATCTTCAAACAAATGACTTTTACCAAACGATAAAACAATTCTTGTATGAATGTTGAGAAACTGGAATGCTAAATTTTTTATTTTATGTAAAACCTAGATTATAATTCTCTTAATGTGTTTGAAAATAGCTGGCCATGAAATAATATAATTGTATCATAAACAAGAATTAAAAAGTGACAGAATTTATCATTATTTAGCTTATGATTGATCAATCAGCTGTGATTGTTTGAACTATAGAAATTTAAGTAGAAATTATAAAGTTAAAATGTGTGGTAGAATCTAATGAGTAACTTTAATGTAGTATGTTTTTATTTTATTTTTAAAACTGTGTTAAATGTATTTTGAAGAGAGAAGAAATCACTAGTTTTGGTTTCTTATGTTAATGACAGAATACTAGTTTCAGTTAGCTAGTATGTATTACATTCCTACTTGTAAGAAGGACTGCTGGAAACAAAAACATAAGGTTTTTAAAATGTTCATCATGTTTTTTCTCTGCACAGTGGAAAGTGAGTTTTATAAATAACTACCTGATTGTGTCATAATTCACTTTATGATGTTGTTCTGCTATGTGGTAAGATACTCATTTTATAAAAGATAATACTGACATTGGAAATCAGTGGCAGGTTGTAACAGTGTTAGATGCAAATCTTGTGCATCTTAAAAAGTCCGAAATTAAAGTCTGTTTAAGAAACTGATAGTGATTTAAAAAAGTAAATAGGGTGAATGTATGGCTGTAATAATTGTGTGTGCTGTACTCTGAGTATTCACTAAGTTGATTAGTACTGTCATATTGAAATTCAGTGTGTGCATGAACTAAGGTTTTTTTATCCTGATGTCTCAGTGACACTAAGTGAAAAAGTCAGCTGTATAACAGGTAATTGGTCTATTTTTGTAAGTTTTTTCAGAATGTATATGCATCATCTGAAATTTATTATAATGGTGTCTGAGTGGCACTAAATGAAGAAGATAGCATTTTAGAATGTTTTAAAAACAATCTGGTTCCTAAATCTTATTATGTATTTTGGCATCATACCTGTGTTTACACTGTAATACATGTTTGAATGCATAGAGTAATGTGAGATAGTCTTGACAATAGTGTGATCTACATGTGTATTTTTGTACTTGGTATTTGAAATCTAGTGATGCCCATTGATATTTGAATTGTTACAGGAGTATTAGGATGTACTCTGTGCGTGTTCCTGACTAGCCATTCATGTACAGAGTGATTTTAGTTCTCAGTAATGTTAATTAATTAAAGCATGCTATACTTTTTAATGATATGTATTCTTATACATAGATCTGTGTATATGCACATTGTGAATCAGGCTGTAATATATCACTGCAGAGTACGGCTATAGATATATTCAGTACTTGCGTTATATTCCCAAATTTCAAAGAGATTTTAGTACAATCTTATAGACATTTCATTTGAAATATTTACTTGGTAAATAACTTTTAACTACATATATTCACATACTTTTTTAATACTTTGTATTGCTGACTTCAAGCTTGTGATGCAGAAAGGATTTGATTTTCTATAATTTTTTGTTTAAAAGTTAGATCTCTCACAGTAACAAATTTCAGAATTTTTGAACTTCCAAGTATAAATTTTTTTCTGAATTTAGAACAGAACATATTTGAAATGCAAACACAGTAAGACATAATGGCCAAACAAAAAAAGCTTGTTCAGAAATCAAAGTCAAGGGGGAAAACTGTTTTGTTACTTTTTTTGTGTTCAATTTTGATTTTGTAGATGAAATCGCAAGATAATTGCATTACTCAATTTATTATCCTATATTCCTATGTGTTTTCATATTTAAGCAAATGCACATGACTGTTAGAAATGGGAAAGACTGTTGGTGCTATTGTAATTAATTTTTGTGTAAATTGGAATGATGTTAACAATACCATATGAAGCTAGCACAGACACGAGATGATTTCCACAGTTTGAAGCTCATACTCTATATTCAAGGTTTGGGAATGAAGAAGAGGTCCTGGTAAACCTTGCAGCAAATGAATAATGTGTTGTGAGCCTGGAAGGATAATTTTAGTCTTAGATTACTGTTTTTTTGCTAACCTAACACTACAACTAATCAAAGATTAATTTAATAGTAAAAAAATCCTAAGTAAAATAATGTTGAACATGAACCATTGTTATTTTTAAACACACTGAGAGAGGTACTATACTAATATATATATATATATATATATATATATATATATATATATATATATATATATTATACTACGTTACGTACGTACGTAGTAGTACGTAGTACGAGTAACGTACGTAACTAACGTAA